GTAACAAAACTCTTTTGGGATTTTTCCAAGGAGAGGCATGATGGCAATGTTATAGAAACTAACTAATAGATGCCCACTAAAATCAACTTTTTCCTTGTTTGTACTGAGCTGTGTTGAAATCATATTAAGAACTCACATTCAGAGCAACAATTCTCACTGTGAGTTCTATATAAAAACACACGTGTTTTAAGGGTGATGAAGTCACTATCAGAGTTCTCTATTCTAGAAATGCCACTTCTCTTGTCAAAATAGAAGGGTATTCATCACTACTTTATCTTGTGGAACAGTCATGGAGAAAAATATCTGTCCTTTTTTTGCCTTGGAAGAGACAAATTAGCAGATAGTCTCATATGGTGTGAACTAAGTGGTCCCTATATGCCTTGCATTTCCCAGTGCAGTTTTTTACACCACTCCATTCCGATATCAGAATGGGTTAGTCCGGTGGTTCCCAATCTTTGGTCCTCCAAATGTTTTGGGCATCAGCTCCCACAATTCCTAATAGCTGGTAAGATGGCTAGGATTTCTGGGAATTGAAGTCCAAAACACCTGGAGGACCAATGGCTGGGAACCACTGGTTTAGTCAGTCACCACATCTGAGGTTATGATAATGAGAAGACAGGAAAGCTTGGAGAATATATTGATGTTGGGGGAAATGGAAGGAAAAAGGGAGAGGGGCCGACCAAGGGCAAAGATGGATGGATGTCATCCTTGAAGTGACTGGCTTGACCCTGAACGATAGACAGCTCTGGCATGGGCTGGTCCATGAGGTCATGAAGAGTCAGAAGTGACTGAATGAATAAAGAACAAAATATTTGAAGTAGGAATTTTTAATGGAASTACCAGAAAAGTCTGAAAAACACTTCCTTGTTTCAATCTGTGTTATGCTCAACCATTGCAGCCAGGGCCATAGCTGGGGGGGGGGGATGCAGTTAAAAGTTCAACCCTGCCCTGAAATGTGTCAGGTTAAAAAAGAAACTTAGTTTACTCATAACTTGGTTAACTAGTAAAAATTCTTGAGTAAACCAGTTTTTTTTGGGGGGGGGAAGAACCCTTTTGAGGGGGGTTAGAACCCTTAATCCCCCCCCCCTCTCCAGCTACTGCCCTGGTTGCTGCATTGGGTTCACTGATCACTATTGACTTGCATTATATTTCTTTCATATCTGGATAATTTTCTGTTACTCATTTTGCTGTTATGTTTCTTGGAATTTATTCAAGGTCAAATGGCACAGTGTGGGTCTGGGTAGGTATGTACATTCGGACTTCCTGGTGAACCTTTCTAATAGTTATTATATGATGGACTGTTCACCTGAAGTTGTCCTCACAGCTGTCCAGCATGATAGAGGGCATGTGCTTGGGGGATTGACAAGTGAACTGTATCAAGAGTTAGGTGAACCTACTATGGTCAATTGCCAGGACCTTCTGGCTATGTATCTAGTTTGAGATTCCAAAGATTTTCCTGTTTTCTTTGATATAATATGCCTTAACACTTGCTAAATGTGTCTATTGGCAATAGCTTAATAGCTGTTGATTGCACTTCTGTTAGAAATTTATTCTGTAGAGTAGTATTCTATGGCTATTAACTATGACTTTCTTGTTGTAGAGGAGGGCAAGATATTCATTAATTGACAACAATTGAAGGTATCTACTTTTCCTTCCCCATACTATTTTCTTCAAAATGATAAATAGCTATATCAAGTAATCATATTAATCTAGATAAAGTGTTCCCTCACTTATTGCAGGTGTTATGTTCCAGGACCACAAGAGAAAAGTGAAAATCCAAAAAGTAGGGATGCTATATATGTATATCGAGTTCCGAGGGTGAGGCAGAAGCAAGGAGAGATTTAAAGGCACCACACACTTTTTTTTGCTAGCTATCTCTGCTTTGCTTTGCAATATCTCTTCATTGGCTGCCTCTCTCCCAAGGGACGGATGAAACCCCCTTCCACACTCCATCATTGCCAGGAGGTGGGATAAGAACAACGCTCTGGGCAACAGCAACCATTCATAAACTGGAGGCAAAAACCCGTGAAACAGCGAGTCCGTCAAAAGCGAACCATGAAGTAATGAGGGAACACTGTACTCCAATTTACTGAGAACACTCTGACTTAAACATGGAGCTTCAACCAAAACAGAAGTTGTCTATTCATTGCCATAGAATGTCCACACATATCAATTTTTAAAAGCCTCGTAGAACAGAAATGTTTTTTACCTGCTGCTGGAAGGGAAGCAAGGACAGGGGAGGTGAAAACACATTTCAAAGGCAGCCACAAGTACAGCACATTATAGTAATCCCAATGGCATGTATCATTGTGGCCGGACTCGACTTCTCCAAGAACTAGTGGAGTTGATGTACTGGCTAGTCACTGCAGAAATCTGGTCCTCCAAGCTCAGAACTGAATACAAGAGTGCCCCCAAAACACAAAACTGCATTTTCAGGGGGAGTGTAACTTCATATAACTTCATATAACACAGACAGACTACCTAGCCCCAGATCTGTCTTTTGATTGATTAGAAACAGCTCTGTCTTGTCTGGATTAAGCTTCAAGTTGTCTACCCTCATCCAGTCCATCAGACAGACAGGCACCAGTTTAGAACAGGAGCAGCTTCCTTGGAATAATATAGAAATGAGTAATAGTGCTGGGTAACATCAGTTTACTGGAATCCCCAAATTCCAGACTACCACTCCCAGAGATTTCATCCAGATGTAAATAGCACAGGGTCAAGACTGAACCACGAGGGACACCACAGGTCAATAACCAAGAGGTTGGGCAGGAATCCCCCATCACCATTCTCTGTGCCACCCCTCAAGGAAAGATCGGAGCCATTGAAGAACAATTATTTATTATTATTTATTATTTCCCACATTTCTAATCCACCCTTCTCAACCCCCGAGGAAGGACTCAGGGCGACTTACACAGGCAACAATTCGATGCCACAAAATAATATAAACAAATATAACAACAGTTTAAAACAGTAAATAGAACATTAATTGTATTGTCGAAGGCTTTCATGGCCGGAATCACTGGGTTGTTTTTTCGGACTATATGGCCATGGTCTAGAGGCATTCTCTCCTGACATTTTGCCTGCATCTATGGCAAGCATCCTCAGAGGTAGTGAGGTCTGTTGGAACTAGGAAAAAGGGTTTATATATCTGTGGAATGACCAGGGTGGGACAAGGGACTCTTGTCTGCTGTAGCTAGGTGTGAATGTTTCAACTGACGAAGATCCACCCAGAGGAAAAGTGTTCTTGCCATACATCAAGGGAACCACTGACCGCATAGGGAAGCTGATGAGGAAACACAACATACAAACTATCTGCAGACCCACCAAAAAAATCCAACAAATGCTACGTTCAGCAAAGGACAAGAGGGATCCTCTCACTTCTGCAGGAGTCTACCGTGTACCATGCAGCTGTGGACAAGTCTACATAGGGACCACCAAATGCAGCATTGCCCAAACACGAATCAAGGAACATGAAAGGCACTGCAGACTACTCCAACCAGAGAAATCAGCCATAGCAGAGCACCTGATGAACCAACCTGGACACAGCATTTTATTTGAGAACACAAAAATGCTGGACCACTCCAACAACCACCAGGTCAGACTACACAGAGAAGCCATTGAAATCCACAAACATGTGGACAATTTCAACAGAAAGGAGGAAACCATGAAAATGAACAAAATCTGGCTACCAGTATTAAAAAACTCTAAAATTACAACAGCACAACAACAGAGAGGAAACAAACAAGGACATCTAATCACCTCTCAACAAAAGTTTGCTCCAGGCTCTGTCAGACCATTATATGCTAATCAAGGTGGTCAGTTGAAACATTCACACCTAGCTCCAGCAGACAAGAGTCCTTTGCCCCACCCTGGTCATTCCACAGATATATAAACTTTTTCCTAGTTCCAACAGACCTCACTACCTCTGAGGATGCTTGCCATAGATGCAGGCGAAACGTCAGGAGAGAATGCCTCTAGGCCATGGCCATATAGCCTGAAAAAACCTACAACAACTCAGAACATTAATTTAAAAACATAGTTCCTCCAAGGTCTATCCCAGAGAGCCGATTAATAAGGTACCATGTTTATTGACATCGAATGCCACTGAAAAGTCCAGCATAGTGATACATTTGTTTTATTATTGTTCAGTGTATGCAAAATTAGTTTTACACACATAATTATTTAAAATATTGTGTATACATCCTCCAGGCTGTATGTACAATATGTATATGAAACATAAATGAACCTTGTGTTTAGACTTGGGCCCCATCTCCAAGATATCTCAGTAAGTATATACAAATATTTCAACCTCTCCCCCCCTCCCCCCCACAAATCCAAAATTTACAACACTTCTGGTCCCAAGTATTTTGGATAAGGAATACTTAATCAGTATGCATTTCTGACAATAAAATCATTGTTCTTGATTTGATACTAACCTTGTTCCAGTATTACTGGTTAACATTGTGCATGTTTCAATGCATAAGATACACAATACTCTATTTAGTTAAATTATTCAGTGAATTTCTTTTTAGGATTGTGCCCTCAGAAACCTCTGCACAAGAACACAATACTATGCAAGGTATTACAGTCACAATAGCAGTAATACACAATCCTTGGGATATAAAGATTTTGATACAACTAGGTACAAAGCAACCAACGATACATTCAGCTTTATTGAACTTTAAATGGAAAGGTTGAAATCTGAAAGCCTGTGCAAAAAGAAAATGGATTTTACATGCTGCCCCCCTCCATCAAGTAAGGGGTGGGTTGCACTGCTTGCTATTTGAATGAATCTCAGTGATACTCACTTAAAGACTTCTGATATTGATCTTAGTGTACGAGAAGGATTGTTTGAATGAAAGTGATCTCTTAAATAGTCTGGTCCGAAGGTCTTTTGTGTTTTAAAGGTTAAGACTAAAACTTTGAAAGAGCTTGTGCAAAGAACAATTTACTTCATCCCCCCTTTTAAAAAAAGGTAAATAGAATACACACAATACCTGTATTCATCCTGTGTAAAACGTGGAATTACTGAAGGTTGTAATACTGAAATTTCTACAGTGGTGGTGTTGAACTTCACAGGGTCACCATCATCATAGGCAATAATAACAAGCTATTAAGCAAACAAACATAGTGAATTAATGTGTACATCAGCATCAGGTTTACATACAGTTGTAATTTAAAGTATTGCCTACTTTTACGTAGAGCCAAATCAAAGACAGAAACAAAACATGAGTAATATACCCAACACAATCCAGACTAAAAAAAATGAACTTGGCATTGGATTTTATTAAAAAATGAAAGCCTAACTTGGAAAGCTCAGCTCCGCATATATTATAAAGAACATTTAAAGAGGAAATAGGTTATGTAAAAACAAGAAAAGGTTGTTTCAATTGGGGATGTAGAAAGTTCCTTGAGAAGTTTAATCTTATTAATTCATAAGATTTAATCTTACTGATGTTTTCAAAATTTGTAGATGTCTGAAACTTTTCCTATTTAGTTTCATATGACTTGGAGTTGTATGTTTGGACCATTTCAAACTACAAAATATCTTTTAAATAATAATAATAACAACAACAACAATAACAACAACAACAATAATAGGTGGTAGAAAATTAACACGCAAAAATGCTGTGGGACTTTCAAATCCAGACTGACAAAGTTTTGGAACACAATACACCAGACATCATGATTGTGCGAAAAAAAGTTTGGATTATTGATGTTACCATACCGAGTGACAGTCGCATTGAGGAAAAACAACAGGAAAAACTCAGCCATTATCAGGACCTTAAAATCAAACTGCAAAGGCTCTGGAATAAACAAGTACAGGTGGTCCCAGTGGTAATTGGTGCACTGGGTGCCGTGCCAAAAGATCTCAGTCGGCATTTGGAAACGATAAACATTGACAAAATCGTGATCTGTCAACTGCAAAAGGCCACCTTACTTGGATCTGTGCGCATCATTTGAAAATACATCACACAGTCCTAGACGCTTGGGAAGTGTTCGACTTGTGATTTTGTGATACAAAATCCAGCATATAGACCTTGTTTGCTGTGACATATTGTGTTTTGTGTCAGTAAAATAATAATAATAACAACAATAATAATAATTTATATCCCACTTTTCTCTCCAAAGGGACTCAAGTCGCCTAACAAATAAAAACACTTAATAAACATTTAAAATAAGACAGATACACACATTAAAAACAATTAAACATTTGTGGGTAGATACAAAGGTGAAAATACAAGAAACACCATTAAAATTCCATTCAAATCCCACCGTCTCCCCACCATTCCCACCCATCCTCCCCAGTAGTGTGCCCCTCATCCTTCCCCAAAGGCCTGATGTTTTAACCTGCTTGTGAAAATTACCTTTGAAGGCAAAGTAAACCTAGAACCACATAGACATGCTTTGTTATATGCACTACATTATTTCTCAAAATAGTCTCCTCTAGCAGTCCTTTAGTTTTCAGTAGCACTAAGTAGGGAAATAGTAGGGATATTCTGCCCAACATTTCATAAGAAGCATCAAGATCTCATATATATATATATATATATATATATATATATATATATATATAAGAATTTATTGCACTCTTTTCCCAGAAAAACCATTCATCTGGTCTGAAATATTCTGCCCTTTTTTTTGGTGAAGTTTATTGTAGCCTATGAAAATATGTCCTAGAGGGCTGTGAAACAGAACAGAAAAGGTAGTGGTGGGAGTTAATGGGGAAAAAACTTCAAATTCCAAGACCCATCCAAGTCAACATATGTAAATTTTACTTCTATAATTGGGTTGCAGCACCTGGCATCCAGTACATTTATATAATATAGTGAATAAAACATTAATATTAACAGCACCTAAAATCAATCCCCTTGTATTATCTTTAAATACTGATGTGCCAGCCAATCTTCTGTATATTGACTTAGAGCCCATCTACATTGCCATATAATGCGATTTCATAATGCAGTTTAACTGCATTGAACTGCATTATATGTGCTTACACTGCCGTATCATGAAGCTCAGTGCAATTAAAATGTATTATATGTAATTGCAGATGGGGCCTTGGACATAAATCCCACTATTAAATTGGGGTTAATCCTAAAACATATATGTTCATAATTGCAGTCTAAAATAATACAAAGGACACTTTTGTAATCTTCATGATTTTAGAGCAGTATGAAATTTTATGGAATATTCATAACAATGTTTGCCTTTAGAAGAGATATCGGAATATTTTAAAAGTAACAAAGCCATATTTTGCCATTTACTACAGATATAACTTTTGTTACATTTTAACACATAAAGAGAGAAACAAGAAAACCACTGTATGAGGTTAGATAAACAGATGGTGCTTTGCAAGAAGATAGTGGAATAGGGCAAAATGGTCAAAATCACAGAGATGCCTTTTTGTTGTTGTTTAAAGGCATATTTAACAAAGGCGAGATAATTAAAAGGGGTATTTTTATGCAATTTAGAAGAAAAAAGTATCGTAACCTCAGCTTCAGAAAAACAACTGAGACAACACTCATTTCTGCAAATTACATAGAATTCAATTTTCTGTAATTAGTGGGTTGCAATCTGGGTTTTTAAAGCTGAAGCATCGTCTGAAACGCTAAAGAAAAAGAAAAGTCAAGCTAGACACATTAATTAGCATAATAGACTATCTTCTCAACAAAGAAATGCCAATGCAATGCAATACAAAACATTAATCGCGAGAAAATGTTGAAAGAACAGCTAAAAACCCTTTGGAATTTTATGCACATTTTATTTGTCAGACACTGATTTCACTGAAACGAATGGGAAAAAGTTGGTATGTTAAAAACAAACAAAAAGTCAACATAAACTACAATTAAACTACAGGCTTAGTCTTCCTAAACAGAAAATCCAAAATACCAAACACCATCTTTTGCCTTTGTGGAAAGGGGGCTAGTCACACTCCCAGTTCCTGCTGAGGCCTCATGGATGCTGACATAAAATCCAGATTATCTGCTTTGAACTGGATTATATGGCAATGTAGACCTATATAATCCAGTTTAAATCAGATAATATGGATCATCTATTTTGATAATCTGGATTATATGGAAGGGTAGATCCAGCCTTTGTTTTTCCTCAAAGTATCCGAACAGGGGGAACAGAATTTAGAAATAAAGGGAAGACTCTGTTTAAGGAAACCCTAAGCAACATGTCTCTAATCACACTTTACTAATGATCTAGGATTGTCTGCTTGCTCCATCTCTCTCCAAATACCTATCCTAGTTATATGTCACCTTGTCATGCCCAGCATTTTTTTAAATTTTAATTATTACATTTGGCCCTGCCATAGGTTTTTAATGAGTCGTGGTGTTATTGTTACTGTTTATTGCTTTGTTTATGTGTTTATTTATTATCTGTGTTGCTGTTGTTGCTGTTTTTACTGATGTATTTGGGCTCGGCCTCTTGTAGGCCGCACCGAGTCCTTTGGGAGATGGTAGCGGGGTATAAATAAAGGATTATTATTATTATTATTATTATTATTATTATTATTATTATTATTATTACATAAGGCCCCTATAAAAATCAGATGTTCCAGACACTTCTGCACTCAAATTTTGCTTGGCCAATGGCAGTATGCAGGAGTAGGAAATAACCATGAGGGTGACCATGGAGCAACCCTATTGGACTGTTTCCTGTTAGTCCAGAGAGAATGAAAAAGACTCATGGGGGCAGGGAGTTCCCCAGTCCCTTCCCAGCTAATCTGCTAAAAGGGTGGTAAGTGTGCTGACAGTTGGGGAAGCATCTGAAATGTCCACATTTTGAGGGGGTTTATGTAAACCAAGTATTCCCCTTTCCTCCTCTTCTCTGTCCTGTCTAGTTTCTGTCAGTCATGGAGAAGGAGCTCCTGGGGAGTATCCCTCACTTGCTGTGTAGATGCAAATACAGGTATTCTGAAATCAGAAAAAAGTTGGGAGATCTAGGAACATGGAATGGCACTCACTGTCCTCCCCCTCCTGTTGTGATTGGAGTGGCCAGTGGATTTGACATAACTTGTGTCGGTTGCTTGTTGTGTAGAATGAGACTGGTTGGAGCAACAAGGTGATCTGGCTGATATCACACCAGGTGATGATTGATTGACATTAGTCATTGCATGCTTGCTGGCCTCTGTGATGCCAAGAACAGGAAAGGGATGATGAGGTTTCATCCTGGTTGGATTACTGCAATACACTCTATGTGGGACTGCTCTCAAAAAATGTCTAGAAACTTCAACTGGTACAGCGTACAGCAGTCAGATTGCTCATTGGAGCTGACACCAGGGATCACCCCCTGCCCCTATTGAGACAGCTCCACTGTCTCCCAATTAGTTTCCGGGCCCAATTTAAGGTGCTGATTTTAACCTTTAAAACCTTACATGGTTTTAGTCCAGGATACTTGAAACACCTTGTCTTACCAAACAGTCTAGGCAGACCCTTAAAATCGAGCACTAAGACGCTTCTTGCCACCCAGGTTAAGGACAGTCTTTATCTAAAATGGCACTCTCTCGGGTACAGCACTAAAGCTCTGGAATGCTCTGCCAGAAGTGATTAGAGCATCATGTCCTTTTGGAAAAATCTGAAGACTTTCCTGATTTGAATAGCTTTTAATTTATTTGGGACAGAAGCTGGGGATTTGCACTATAATTACATTTTATTTTACTTTATTATTATTGGAAGGATATGTAAGCACATTTACATTGAAGAAGGTTAGAATAATGGTTGAATCAGAGTTGGGCAGTCTTATCTTAAATTATAGTTTTATGCAAATATTCAAAAACATTTAATCTACTGATGCTTCAATTAATGTAATTTTTTTAAAGTTTGGAATGTACCAGTAGCTGCTGCATTTCCCATCCTTGGCTTATACTTGAGTCAATGCAGTTTTTTGTAGTAAAATTAGGTGCCTGGGCTTATATTCGGGTTGGCTTATACTTGAGCATATACAATATATACTTGGAAAGAACAAAACTGTTATGAAGTAATAGCAATGGAGCAACACTATTGTGTTAAAACTTATCAAAGTACATGTAAAATGCATTACCTTAAATAATGTACTAGGCTCTTCATTTAGGTTCACTCGGGTCACTACACGTCCAGTATCTTCTTCAACATCAAAAATACTTGCACTATAAGGGAACTGGACTACATCTACTTTATACCGCACTCTGCTGGCTGGCGTCCCCTAAAAGAAACACATATAATTTTAATTGCATATAGCATGGTCTAAAAAACAGACACAAATACTGCCAAAACATTATCTTGTTATACAGTTAACACACACACACACACACACTTTTATGCTCTTGTGTGCATGTAACAACTCAAAAATATTACATGAATGACATATATTTGACAAATTAGCCAGTTTGCATAACTACAGGAAAACAGATGAACACATATTATATTTACATGAGAAATATTAACATGTAAAATTGCAAGCAGAAAGAATTTTGAAATAATAATTTAAAAAATTAAAATCACAATAATAATAATAATAATAATAATAATAATAATAATAATCTTTATTTACACTCCGCCACCATCTCCCCAATGGGGACTCAGAGCAGCTTACATGGGGCCAAGCCCAGACAACATATTACATTGAAATAAAACCAAAACATAAACAACATCATCAAAATTACATTAAAAAACATATGAATACAATAACAAAATAACATTACAATAAACACAGTTGCAGTAACAGTGGGCGGGCTGCATGTACAGGATAAAATGTTAAAAAACTCTAATGAGATAAAAAATAGGAGCAGGTTATTTGCAGGGAGATCATTATTTAGGAAAAGTGAGCTAGACCTTATCTCTCTTCTTGTATTTCAGATTGAAGTCAACATGTTTAACATGAGGTTTCATGATTGGCCAATACTCAACCAATTTATTTATTTATTTATTTATTTTATTTAGCAGTTTTGTATACCGGTCTTCTCACCTCCATCGAGGGACTCAGRCCAGTTTCCAACAAACAATATTACAAACAATCATTAAAACATCATAATCCAAATTACACTAAAACATTAAAATAGCAAAGTACAGTCATAATTACAGCGGTCAGTMGTCATCCTAAAATCATTGTTCGTCATCATCCATCCATATCACAGGATCTTGACTACACAACAGTTCTCCTCTTTTTGCAATACTTTTTATTGTATCTGAGTATATTTCTCACCCCCCCCCCACACACACACACATCTTATGAATTAATAGCTAACAAATTGTTGATAGTTGAGAAATGAGTCAGAAAAAGTCTTATATGATGAAAAGAATGCAGTACAACTTATACTAGGCATTTACAGCAAGAAGGGTTGCTTGTATCATATGAGGTGAACCTTATGATGTGAGCTAAACTCCAGAAAAGTATACAACAAAACTTTTTAGTCTTTGCATTTCCACAAGACATGTGCTGAAACATTAGGAGAGGGCATATTTTCAAGTCCTGGCAAGATCCTGTATTGAAATGGAAAAGCCTGTCCCATAGCTTTGTACTCAGTTCAGAATTCTCAGAACCACCAAACTATTTCTTTATGCCTCATAACTTAAGCCAGACAGCACTGTACGTTTGTACCACCCATACAACACTGTATAAGTTGACTATATTGCCAGCATTGACTTTCAAATTAGTTCTAAAATACACTCCGCTAGAGACAACCACTCATTTTTTTTAGAGAGATGCACAACTTCCCCTTTTTGTATGCTTGAGAATCTTGCTTTCAGTTGTCATTCTATCTCCCTCAAATGAAGGTGACCAGACTAGGCTTTGATTGTCCAACTACTCAGAGTCAATAATGGAATTTTATAGGAGGCGTAGACAGCAGTCTTTTCAATTTATTTCCCTCCCATGCTTTGCCCCATTTCTTCTGTTTCTCTCTCCCCATCCCCCATACCACAGTAAATCCATTCAGGAGAAAGGAAGACAATATGTCCGTAATCAGTGTTCTTTGACTTGTAGCACAAGTTGAAACACATAAGCAGAGGTGGTCCTAGGTAATTTTCAATGGTAAGCAAACAGTATTTTGGCACCCCCCCCCCCCCAACTAATTACTGATATATATTTTCTGTTCATTGTGGGAGTTCTGTGTGCCATATTTGGTTCAATTCCATCATTGGTGGAGTTCAGAATGCTCTTTGATTGTAAGTGAACTATACATCCCGGTAACTACAACTCCCAAATGTCAAGCTCTATTTCCCCCAAACTCCTCCAGTGTTCACATTTGTTAAGGTCTATTTTCCCCCAAGAGTGCCTCAAGAGCGCCCCTGGGCAAAATCAACTATACTGCAAATGCTTACTTTGCGTAATGGGTTGAGCTGCCCCTGCACATAAGATAGGACCCAGGACCTCATCAGATGGAGGATTTTTAAGGGAAAATAATGCTGGGCTCCACTTTTTAGCCTTATTTTAAAGCCTCACGTGCTGCTCATTAGACAATGCAGGTTGCAACCCTTCTGAAACCCCTGCATCACGAGGAAAGGAAGAGTGGATCTGCAGGCAGGGGTTGCACCCGTGATATAGGTAAGCTTCGTGCTATTTTAATTTTTATTTTCACAATTTTGATGCTTCCACCGTCTGATGAGGGTGCCATGAAGACCATAGCAATTGCTCTGCCCTTCCCTTTCCATCACCGAAAACACAGAATCATAGAGTTGGCCACCTCATGGGCCATCCAGTCCAACCCCCTGCCAAGAAACAGGAAAATTGCATTCAAAGTACCCCCAACATGGGAAGGAGTAGGGTGGGTGTGATGTCTCAGCCTAGCCTTTTCCCTCCTCTGTTTTACTTCCTTGTTTGTTCTCCCTTTGGTGGGTTTTTCCAATTGTGCTTAGTTTTAGGGGTGGAGCTTAAAAGGCATGGCCTGAGTTACCGGGCCAAAGAAGTTGCGGTGCAGGGCGTCCCCCACCGCCATGATTGCTTCAGGGGGGCTTCTTCCTCCCAGAAGCCCCCTAGGATGGTGGGAAGGTTTCCCGCCGGCGGGTCAATGGGCCAATGGCCAACTGACCACGCCCGCTGCGGGAGAGGCCTGAGCTGGCCTCTCCTTTTTTGTGGGCAGCCTTTATAAGGCCCCCCAGCAGGCACTGGGCCTGCAACAGCTGATCCATCCCACCCACCCTGCATGCGGTTTATGTTTTCATTGGCAGTTAACTTTTGTTGGTGTTTACCTTGTCATGGTTACCTGTTAACAGTTACTTGTTTGTTTTATGCTCCTTGTCACAACTCCTGTTGGTGTGGGGTATGGGCCCTGGATCTGGTTTGGTATCCCCCCTAGCGGAAAGGGGGAACGCCCGGTGGTCCCAGGGGTGCCGAGTGGTGTTTGCCCGGTATTGTGCCAGCGGCACCCTGGCATGTGCGATCGGGCAGTATTGGGCTGCCCGATCGTGATCCAGGACCCATGATTGGCTGCCAACCCTTGTTCCTGTTATCAATAAATGAGTTGTGGCCATTGTTCATCCCAACATCGTGTGTGAGCATACTTCTTGGGTGGGCTGTGGGAGGTGTATCGCACTTGCACACGCAAAACCCCCTAGAGCAGTGGTTGTCAACCTCTGGGTCCCCAGATGTTTTGGCCTTCAACTCCCAGAAATCCCAACAGCTGGTAAACTGGCTAGTATTTCTGGGAGTTGTAGGCCAAAACACCTGGGGACCCCCAGGTTTAGAGGCCTGGCTCAGTTGGTTTAGCCCTTTGCTTCAGAGCTTGGCTAAAAGGCTTTCCCCTCCTTTTTAGTGTGTGCCAGAGTTTTAGAGGAGAAGGCCAGAAAATTGTCTGGGTTTCCTTGGCCTGGCAATCTAAACAGGCATTCTATACTATGTACATACCTTATAGATCTTCATAGCTATGCATACCTTATAGATCTTCATAGCAGTATAAACCATATAGCCCCTCATAGCTGTATACCTCATAGACCCTCATAAAGCTATGAAGGTCTATGAGATATACAGCTATGAGGGTCTATAGCTTTATATTAAATTATTATTATTATTAAACTTTATTTGTACCCCGCTAGCATCTCCCGAAGGACTCGATGCAGCTTACAAAGGCCAAGGCCTCAACACAATAACAACAACAACAACAATGCAGCAAATTAAAAACATAAGCAATAACACAACAAAACATTACACTATTACACAATAAAATCAGGGCCGGGCCAATGATGGGTACAGGTTAAAAAGTGCTGGGTGTGTGAGGTGGTATGTGCAATGTGCAGAGAGTATTAAACTCTAATAAAGTGCTTCTGGGACAGAGTGCTGGAGATTATCCTATTCTGGGAAGGCACATCGGAATAACCAAGTCTTCAAGTTCTTCCTAAAGACTGCCAACGTGGGTGCTAGTCTAATGTCTTTGGGGAGGGTGTTCCAAAGTCGGGGGGCAACCACAGAGAAGGCCCTCATAGCTTTGTATTTACCATTACTATAGTATTTACCAAATAGTCACTATAGCTTGTATTCATACCATCATCATAGCTTGTACTATACCATCAGCATAGCTAGTACTGACCATCATAGCTGTGTATACCTCGTAGCCAATATAGCTTGTACCTTTACCATTTAGTTATTATAGTTCTGTACTTTACCATTTTAGTTTCTGTTTTATATCAATAGCCAAGTACCTTAGTGTAGCCAATATAGCAAAGTATTTTACCAAGTGACTTACAACAATTATGGTAAAATATTTTACCTTGTATTCTATGAATACAGTCAAGTGTTTATTTCCAGTGTAATCAATTTCAATCAACAAATTTCGTCTTTGTAATATTTTATTTTGATTTGCCTTTCAAGAACTCTGACTGAAGTTAACTTTGCCTTTTGTTTCTAGTAAACTTGTTTGGTTAACTTTAATCCTGTCTCAAGAGTCCTTATTTTAAAGAGGGTATACCAATAGCCATCGGGAATAGCCAGACATATAGTCTCCTTTTACCCCGGTGTGCCATCACAGTGGGCATGTGGTTAGGGTTAGTCCTTCCTCTCCCTGCCATAACGTTACTTGGGGGGTGGGGGTGGGGGGTGGGACATGTCTGATAAGGTTGTTAAGAGTGTTGAAATCCACAGCATTTCTCTGACTCTTGGAAACTCTACCTTTGGGTACCTTTCTCTGCATCCCCTCACCCAACAAACCTCATTGAGTAAAACTTTGCTGTGGCTACAGAACAGGTATAATATGTCAATATCTCACAATCTGC